GGTGTGTGTGGAGTCACACACATCCGAGACGAAAATAACCCCGATGCCATGTAGCAGGTTCAACATCTCAGGAGATGAGCCTATCCCGCCACTGACACATGTGCAACTTTATTGCAGGTCAAAAGCAACAATCGCGTTTCATGCTTCGTTTTTGCATGCGTGCATGTTTCATGAAACGTTTTAAACTTGAATCCATAGACCTGTCGCTTCCCGAAACCCCTCCAGTTCACATTCGTGATCTGGCATTGCGCCAAGACTTGATGACAGTCTGGGCTCCATCAGCCACCACGTCCATCTCCTCAACCTTCCGGAATTCTGGCTTTTTGATTCTTTTGACATCGTACTTTACTAGGTACTAGTATACTAGCCCAAGTGAAGCTTTCGAAGTGCTGCACAAAAATCATATCAGATCGATCTATCTAGGTCAGTTGTCCCGATATCTAAGTAAAAAGGGTCATATAGGCCTGATCCTTCTCAAGGACCGAGTCCACTTTCATCTTTTCTGACTTAAGATCAACCTTGAAATCCTTCAACGATTCCATGATGGCGCTCTTCAGGGAAGGTGACCTGGGCACAGGATGGTACATCATTTCAATAATGCATGGTTGTCACTTTCCAACGCAAAAGAGTGCATCGATCGATCTACTCTGCAATTATTGTAAACTGCTGCTCTTACTTGTAGTCCAGATCACCAGGACAAGCGGCAGTTCATCAGTCTTCATCTCCCTGCGACTGATGTCGGCCAAGCACGCGTTGAGATCAGTCAGCGCCTGGACCAAAACTTATTGGGGGAAGGGAAGGAATCCAATTTAAAAAGGTCTTCGAATCTAATACTATCGATGTGGGTCGGCTTGCAGTCTAGTTCATGCGATACTTCTAACCATCACTCATAAAATGCACCAGCCTTCTTTGCTTTGTTCCGCTTTTCTTGCCTTTTCTTTTCAGCTTCACGTTTCCTCTCCTGTTCCTCCCTCTTGACCCGCTGCTCCTCCTCTCTTTTCTTTTCCTTTTCTTCCTTTTCCTGTTTCCTTTGTTCCATTTTCTCTTGCTTCTCAATCTCCTTCTTTTTCTTAAGCTCTTCTTTCCTGCGTTGCTTTTCTGAGAGTTTGTTTCCCTCCGATTGAGGCTCTTGTTCATGATCATGATCACTTGACTTATCCTTCCTCTTTTTTTCCTTCTTTTCCTTCTTGCCATTCTTCTTGGATCTTCGCTTCTTCTTCTTCTTGGAACTCTCGCTGCTGCTGCTGCTGCTGCTTTCCTCAGACTCGGAGGTGGATGATGCCGATGAACGTGAAGAACTCGAGCTCCTCTTTCTTTTGCTCTTGGACCCCTTCTTGTGCTTCTTGCCTCCATCCTTAGACTTCTTGTTTCTTTTCTTGTCGTCATCCACTTGCTCGTACATACTTTCCACGATAGTGTCCACTTCTTCTTCTTCCACGGACTCATCCCAGCACAAAAAAAGATATAGATCTTCCCGTTCTGGGAGATCTGGGTGTGGCTTCCAAAGCACTCCCTTCAACTCTGGCTGGAATTTTCCAGCAATGATTTCTTCTGCGATGCTGGCATCGTATTTCAGGGTTATCTCCTTGCGCGTGAGCCATCTCCTGGCTCCTCGCTGGCCCGTCCTCACTTTTTTTTGCATGCGAATCACCAGCGCTGACTTGGACCACACTTCTTTTGCGCTGCACCATTGTTCGTAAAGAAGATGTAGTTTGCAGGTCTTCTCAGTACCTGAGCGTGCTGGAAAAAAGGCACTGCCAAAAAGTTAATTTCATGCTAACTGGCTGTTAAATTAGAATGATCAGCTGTCAATGGAATGGATGCTCAGCTACCAAAACCAAAACATAGCAAATGGGTAATGACCACCACAACTTGGATCATGCCATTTGGCCATTGGCCAATGATATGATATACTTTGTCGTTGTGTGGGAAAAAAAGGCTGCGCCAGAGGGCCTTGTTTTATACTACTTTGGCTGGTGGGGAAACTCGAAGTTTTTCTGGTCCTTGAGCCCACAACTTGGAACTTGTTCATTTCCTATATGGTTCTTAATATAAACTTCCACTGCCACACAAACAAATAAACATTCGGACAAGGATTTTTGGCAGCGTTCGCACGAACTCCATGTTTGAAAGCTAAGTTCCCTTTGGATGTTTTAACTGGTAAGTCATCCGGCGCTTCAGCTGGAAAGAGATCACTTGATCAATTTGATCACGCACATTAAACACTTTGAGTTTGCAACACCACTTGGTGTTGGCATTCTCCAACGTATGCTCACGCACTAAGTACCGTAGCTCCTCTTGGTAAATGACCCGAGAATCACTCGTGAAATCCACATAAGTTTGTTTGATCCACAGCAAGAGGGCTACCATGTGAGGTTCATCCTCATCCAAAACGTTGGGTCCGCTGCATTCATATTGATCTTCAATCGAATACTCATAGTTTCCCGGCACCAACAGCCCAGCAGGCCAATCACACCCTCAGATTCATTGTTTTCAGTAGTGAAAAACTCTAACACTCGAAAATTGCAAAACAAACAAAAAATAAACGTGCATGCATATACACAGTTTTCCTGAGCATAGAAAAGGTACCCATGACATGTTTGATCTTTGTCAGCTCCACATTTGATGTTTGCGTCATGTGGAAATAGGCACCCAACCCAAACACTTTGAACAGCTGCAAGCGACAGATGCTTTTGTTTTGGTATGGGTCTAAAACAAACATTCTTGCAATAGGCAGCACTTGTTTTTGAACGCGCGTGGTCATATCGGTCCATCCCATCATCCCTAATTGCTAACACGTGTTGGTCACGTGTTCAAATCCCCAAAACTAATCACCGATCTTCATAAGATCAGCTACATGGCAGGTCCGTGAGTGTTCACGATAATGCCTTTTTTGGCTGCCTGGATGGCAGCTCGTTCATCGCTTTCCATCCAGGACTTATGTGCTTCCTTAAGCTGTCCTGGATGTGCCAGCAGGAACTTGCGAACCTGAATGGTCCACTGGGCCAAACAAAAAACCGGTCCAGTGTGAACAATTGAAACCAGACAAAAAACACACAAAAGGATATATGAGGTCCAAAAAACAAAATCCCATCGTGCGGTCTCTGCGGTGGTTAGCTCCTTCTTCACCTCCGGTTCTTTGCCCACATCATCACCATTCTTTGATGATGCTCCACTTGATGCTCCCTTGGGGACCTCGTAGCTGTGCTGATGCCCTTTTAGTAGTGTGGTGGGAATCCTAGTCAAAATTAAATAAACAAAATCTTATATGTGTCCCCAAGGTACCCCTTTCTTTTCAAACTTGCTGTGCCACAAACGTGAAGCTGCACGTTTCTTCTCTCTTTGGGCTTCCACCATACTGTTCTTTGTATTGGGACTCATGTCCTTGGTGACCCGAAGTTTCTTTGCAGGTTGCTCACCAGACTCATCAGCCTCCTTGGACAGTTTCCAAAGGTTTGCAAGGGTCTATGCACTTCCAATATGTGAGCACAGAAAATTAACACTTTGTACTTTTTACAAACATGGAAACTCATTCATAACATGGCAGCACCATCAAAAAACCTTTCCTGTTCGGTGGAAGCTGGCACTGGCACGGATGCACGTGATGAACGCTTCGGTGCTGGCATTGCTGGGATCACCTCTTCATCGGGCTCTGCATCAGGTTGGGGATCTTGTTGAACCATCTCCAACAAGTCATCACTTGTAGGTTCATCAACCTCACAGGGTGCAATTTCATTGGGAGTTGTCAACCAATTTGGGCACAACATTGAGGAACAACATTTGCAACTATAAAATGGGCCTTTCCATCATCGCTGCCCACGTCCAGCAGTGAGTCTCCATTGTGATCACCACTGCCTTGGGCATGAAGGCCATTTTCCTCGGGACTCAGAATGAATGAACTAATGAATGAATGAATTCAAAACAGCATCCAAAGGACAACAAAGTGTTGAGCCAACAGACATCTGAGTGTCAAGAACAGGAGAGTAGCACTCAAAACCAATTGAAACACCACACACACCATTCCATCGTTGTCGCCTTTGCTTCAAAATCTCTTTGTACTTCATGGGGTCAAGAACGAACTTGGAAGTAACTTTGTACTCTTTGATCGGAGAGTCTGTTGGTGAGTGCATGTGTGACCCCTTCAAAGGGACCTCGCAAGGCTCACTCAGATACGCATAAGGGTCTTGGCTGTCCTGGAAAAGCTCTGGGTCAGCTTCCTTGTCGAAGAATACATAGTCCTGCTTTGCTGGTGTCTCTTCTGGAAAGAGCTGCTTGGCCAAAGGATCACGCAAAGGCCTTGCAACACCCCTCACCTGAGACATAAATGATCAAACAAATTGAACCATTGTTGTTCACAAACACTTCAAGCAACTCAGGGCTTGACATCCTCAGAGTCAACAGGCTTGGCCATCATCATGAATTTCTGGAGGGAAGAACTCGGTTTGAAGGCAACCATTGGTTCAACCGGCTGGGTCTTGAAGGCCACCAAGTCGGAACGCGGCTTCGGCTCACTTGGCATCGGTGTCTGAATGGAGCTCGAAGCAACAGATGCCAAGTGCTTCTCCATGAGTTTGCGATCAACGTCTGACTGGTCAGCATCCACAATCACAGGCTCCATAGCACGCAGCAGCTACAAAAGGAAACACAAAAACAACACTACGTCGAACTGAAACAAAACGCTTGGGCACATCCATCATTGAGATATATTGAGATACATGTAAAGGTGCACAACCAAACACAAAAAGGATCAAAAGGGCTGTTATTCAAAATGATTCAACCCCTCCAGTGTGCGCTTTTACAACTCACTGCTTTTGGAAGACTCGATCTCAAAAGTTGAGACGTCACACAACCTGGTACACCATGCCCTTTTCCATTTGGAAGGACTTCTTCAGGTAGTAAATTGGCTTTGCAGGCCCAATCACTTTTTCTTTGGTGTAGTGGCGCATACCTGATGTGTTTTGGATGAGACGGATCCAGTACAGGACAGGGGGAGGGGTTCATCAAAGTAACAAAAAGAAAAAACAACCAAGGCACGCCACACCAATGTGATGTGCTGAGATCCGCTCAATGCTTTCTGCCCAATGAAGCTTGCCAAAGATCCTGCTTTGACGTGCTTCTGCACCACGTTGTTCATTTTGTAGACCGAATGTCTCGTGACTGACATCTATGGCATCTGCTGCCTCACCCCGACGAACTGCCGCAGGACGCTCAATCTTGTGGCCTGTCAATTTGAAGTCCACTGCTCCGCGCTTTTCGATTGTGGTCAGGAGCTTGAACAAGGACATTGGTGATGAATCAGCCACACCTCCACCTTGAACCTGTTCTTCAAGAACCACCTTGGTTTGTTCAAAAGGTTTACTGTATTTATATCATGTATATATAGTTATATGTATATCTTATATGTTTTTCACAGACTCTGACTCTGGGAATGTCCAAACTTACAATCACAATAACCCAACATGTTGCTGAATGAACACTCAGACACCCAGTCATCTGAACTCTCCAATCGAAATTCCACGGATTTGTTTGAATTCGCTTCTTTGCTGATGTAGTCCTTGGCCTGTCAAGTACAATCTCACTTCACCCCAACCCCCCACAACCAACCAGTGTTTTTTGGCTGCAGTTCAGCCTTGGCGTCGGAGATCCATGATCCACCACCAAATAAGAAGAGTGGTTTCGGGTTCGCGCCATCCAGCCCAACCAGAGTGAACTTTGTTGCGGTGGTCAGGAAGCACTTCCCATCAGCATAGTGGCAAATGACATTTTGCCCCATGTTCAGCGTGACGCTGCATGCAATCTCTGGGAACTTCTGGTTGAATACCTCTTCTGTCATGCTAGGTGGCGCGGCATTCCCCACAATAGGTTCCTGAGGAGTCTCGGCTGGGGTTTGTCCCAAGTCAAGGTTCTCCTGGCCGCTTGTGGGATTTGGAACAGCAGCTTGTTCAGGGTCCTGAACTGGCGGAAATACAGAGTCAAAGTTCTTGAGACGTGTCCGCCAGTCTGCATCTTGGATGCTTCTGAGGTAAGGAAGGACAAAACCATCGTGGCTTCTAAAACATGTTCACAAAACCCACTTTGAGCAACAAAGTAACAAAGCATTTTGGAAACCGATTCCCAAACAAGGCCAGTTGCTCCGCACAGGGTCCGACAGCCATTTCTTCCTCACTGCATCCGGAAGCTGGAGGTGGCCCTGTGAAGTCATGGTACACAAACGCAATGCTGGTGGCTTCGGTGCTGAAAACTCTGATAGATCAGGTTCTGCACTGAACTTGGGGGTGACCGTTGACATCAATCCACATGACTGCTTCCAGTCCTCGTCAGGGTTTCTCACATATCTAGGAATAATGTCCTCAATTCAGTTCAACCCGATTCAACCCTGTCCTCCAAGAGTTTGTCCTTCATTTGGGTCAGTGCATACTGCAGAATTGTGCAATCTTCGGTCTGGGAAAATACTGCCACATAGCAGCTGGACTCAAGATCGGTCATGAGTTCAGCACAGGTCTTCTCGAAGCAGCCATCATACATAGTATAGTTGTGCAGGATGAGGGATTGACCCTTCATGCTTGACACACGTCCGATGCACCCTTCCAGCATGGATTTGATGGTGCCTCTTGCCCCGAGCCACTGGGCAGTTTCTTCTTTGTCCTCCGTGGTGAGGTTGATCAGCAAAGTTTTTAGCACAACTACTACCAGTAAACAAGGTTGTTGTTCTTTTTACTGAAATCATTCTGGACATCTCATAGCCAGGCTTCTGTCAAACTCCGGCCCCCCTCATGGCTGAAGAAGGTTCCACTCTCCGGCGTCACATATTCACCTTCTTTGAACATGCACACGCACACACATACAAGCCAACCGATCCACTAAATAACCTCCATACACAGAAAAAGGTCAGAAAAACAAAACATACTCTCCAAAAGAGAAGCTGGTGCTGAGAGGGACTGTGGGTCTGCAAGTGCCACTTTGCCAAAACTCATTCTTCACAAAGACATTGTCATCTCGCAAATCTTTGTCCGAATTTCTCGGGGCCTTATACAAGGTCCCTTGTCGGCAGCCTAATGTGTTCTCCAACATTGCCACCCAAGCCGGAAGTAGAGATGGCATGGATCTGCAAGGATGGGTTGAATTACTTGCCACAATGCATTTTGTGAAAAAGACATCACGGCTTTTAGTGTGGGAATTAAAACTGAGCAATTTCACAAAACATGTCCTGTTCCCGTGAGAGGCAGAGTGGTCAAGAGCCACGTGTACCGTCTTGAGTTCCATCGACATGGAGGTAAACTTGTCCTCGATCCGCCTCGCTTCTCCTCTCAATCCTCCTAGGATCCCCTCTCCTGCCAACATCGGACATATGACCAGGACCATACCTTGGCCATATTTGGAAACAGAAGGCAAACAAAACAAAACAAAAACTACCAAAAAATGTGAATCTTAGTTCAACCTCCAGGTGTATTGCTGGCAAGTGGCTGTACTCTGGGTTGAGCTCTAGAACACGTTTTGCCCACCTGGCGCAGTCGTCCACCTGGACAGCTGTCATCCTGCCCAGCTTGGACAGGTCAGCAAAGCCGACATGATGCATCCTCGCTAGGTCGGCGTCACCAAATTTTCCAGAAGTTGCGTCATGCAAGACTCGCTTGACCAAAGCTGTCAAGTGTTGCGCTCGAGGATCAGCCATTGTCATCATGCACCTCTTTTGCATGACAGCCTCTGCCAAGCGAAGGCCTGTGTCGACCTGGTCTCGGAGATGGATAACTCTGGCCACGCGCTTGCTCCCTTCCACCTGAAGGGGGAAGGGGGCAGAGACATTAGATCACTCATCTTAACTTTTGATTAGGTTTCAAACAACAAAAAATAATTTGCACTCAGCAGCCTTGCTGCGCCGCAGATTGAATGACACAGCCTCTTTATAATCATGTCCCAACGAAGTGGTGCACACATTATACTCGGCGGTCCTCAAGTTCTCCTGTCCAAGGAGTCCAATGGGAAGGAACTTGATTGACAACAAAGCGTGTACAAAGTTTATATTAACACAGACACAGCTTAGCAATTTTAGCAGTAAGTCTCCTCTGCATCCTCTATTTCTGCCTCTTGATCCATGCTGAGTGCACAGCCCCCTCCACCTTTCCTCAAAAGGGCCTTCCCAACATGATCTTGATACATTGCGACCATGGAGAGGTTCAGGTTCGCAGGCTTGGAAAGGATCAGCGCGTCCAAGTCTTGGGTATAATCCCTCACTATGTCAAAGGGGTTTTTGTACATTTTTTAATCAGGTGTGGAACAAGCATCCAAAGGATAAAGTAACAAAATGTGATAAATGCTGCTTGTTAACACTGACACCAAGAGTCCCACTCAGAAAGGCAGAAACCATCGAATCGATCATCTCGAGTTACCTTGAGCCCAACTTGAAAACATAGAACATGGGGAGACAGCTACAACACAAGAAACAAAAGTTCAAAGCACGAATCCCACAAACACCCAACATAATTTTGCAACATTGATGCGTTGGGGTCTTTGGTGCTTTCAGAAATCACCCATGTTGTGATGCAGGCTTGGTCGACCCCACGATTCCAAACTTCATCACTCCATCGTAGCCGTGCCCTCAATGTAGCCTTCATGCGCCTGGCATTCAATCTCCACCAGTGGTTGTAGCGCTTGAAGACAAGCAGCTGGGAATCTTCAGTGACCTCGTTGCAATGTGACAGATGAGTTTGTAAAAATTCAATCTTGCTGCCCATCAAACTTGGGAGATCTTGGGAGGGTAAAAGCATGAAGAACATCTTTCCAATCATCAGTTATGTGTCTGTCAAAATGTGTTGCCACAAGCCTGTAACACCTTTTGGGCATTGGTGTAGCTGGTGGCGCTTCGATCGCAAAATGGTCTCGTTGTACCCTGCCAGTCAATTTGCTCTTTGTAGCCACTGTGTCAAACTCAAAGCAACAAAATCAAACCAAAAGAGACAGATGTTGTTTCGCTTGAAGCCAGGGAGCCGCTCTGTTCGTACTTGTTCCAATCTAGGTGAGATCTAATCAAAGATCTTGCAGCAGCAGAGAGCCCGCAGATTATCCCAAGCATAGCTTGGTGTTGATCTCCGGTAATTTGCCACTTTTTCAGAGCCGATGTTGCTTTGTGGGAGTTGAACTTTGAGATCAACTGCCCAAGTAGTTCATTGTCATTGAGCTCTGCACTGTCTGGCTGCAATCTCTGCTGTTGCATGAGGAGTTCGAATCTCATGCTGACTTTCATCAACTTGGCTAACCAAGAAGCTCGATCAAAATCATTAAACAAAACATTAACGACAAAAACACAAACATAAAACAAAAATGGTGGGCCCCAAAGGGACCAAGCAACATCTTTGCGCTGTCGTTCTGCGCCTTGAGCTGATAATTGAATCGCTTCAAAGCTTGTAGTCTCTGGGTCTGAACTTGCGGAGATTGAAACTGGGATGCAAAGCAAGTCAGATATGGCCGGAAGCAAAGGCAGGATGAGATCCTGTCAGGATGAGATTCTACATGATGTTTACAAGGAAACAACCTGTGCAAAACCACCCGTCCTTGCCAGCGATTGGATCCAGCTCTGAAGCAATGACCAGTAGCAGCAGGCCACAGGTCCTCAGCAAACTCTTTTGTAAAGTACTTTGAATCAATGTGCGTTGTACAAACAAATGTGAACATAGACATAGGAAAGGTTTTGGATCTTTTGAACCAGAATCAACCTTGTGAACCCTTTCTTGATTTTCAATAAACCACTGCTGCCATCGGTGACCATATCCAGCGGCTCTCTGTATAGACGTGACCCAGAAAAGAGGAACGAAATGCAGGTTGTTTGGAAGTCTGACGTGCAAGGAAGGCCATCCGCTGGTGTCTCCAATTCAATTGCATCGAATGGGATGTGTCCACTGATTGGTTTCCCATCTGCTGTCAAAGTGCTGAGATCCTCACATAAGTATGCAACCAAGGGTTCAATGCAGTTTCCACAAATGCCACAACAAAAGAAGGTTTTCAGAACAAAACAAAATGACGTTCAGAACAAATCTGACAGGGTGCTGGAACAAAACCCACATCACACTTCTTCCCATGCACCTCCATAGCTTCCTGCAAAAAGCTCTTCATTCTGTCCCGTGTTAGGTTTGCCACCTCTGGCGTCTTGAAACCCTCCATCAAAAGGTCAAGAGGATGAACTGCGCGAGCTTTGGTTGCCACGTCTGTTGTGTCTGTGAACATCGCGAGATACTCTAGGATTTCCTGGCGGTTGGTTGTTTTTGAACATTCTGATTGTATGTCTTAAGTGGAAACACACTTTTGGGGTTGTCTATTAAAAAATAAAAGCACATTCTTGAATCCAAAATGCCTTAGCAAGCTGGACGTCGCCTGGAAGATTGGCTAACCCAGCTTGCCACTCGGTCTTGCGCTTTTTTGCTGATGCTTCATGTTCTGCTTTTACCTCAATTGCATATATATACATACATATACACTAACTATTTACTGTGAATCAACGAATCAAAGACATACAAAATAGAAACATTGGAAACAGAACTTGTCTCAACACATACTTACAGGGGGCAGCCTCCTCCTTGGTTTTAGTGAGCTTGGTCTCATCCTCATCTTTCTTTGGTGTAGTCGCGTCTTCCCCAGGCTTTTTCATCAATGCCCAGGCAGCCGCCGCCACACCAGATCGAAGGAGTGGAGACTCCATTCAATTGGAGCGCCACAGCGACACAGCAAACTCAAATAACACCTATGCTAAGCATAGGCCTGGTCAAAATAGGAGCCACATGTGGCCGCATTTCCACACAACACGAATACCAAACCTTGAGGTGACATTCAACCAGTCAACCCAAAATGAAATTCAACTTGGCAATCCATTCAACCCAAAATCATCGTGGTTCGCAATCCATTCAACCCAAACTCGTCGTGGTTGGCACTCCATTCAACCCAAAATCGTCGTGGTTGGCCCTCCATTCAACCCAAAATCGTCGTTGTTCGGCCCCCGACCCACAAAGACTTTTGGGTTGAATGATCAGATCTGTTCTGACACATTCTGAGACACAACATCTGACGTTTTGATGGCACCCACAAAGACTTTTGATGGCACTAGCATCCTAAAAGTGTTTGTTGTCCAGGTGCCCACCCACAAAGACTTTATATAGATTTTATATACCCACAACAACTTTAATGTTTTTTGTTTTATTGAAAATCATCGTGGGTATATAATTTCTATATAAAGTTTTTGTGGGTGGGCACCCCTCCTACAAAGACTTTAGTGACGTTAGCGCCATCAAAAGTCGGCGTGGGTGCCATCAATGTGACGAGTTCAACTTTATTATTTCTCAATTTCTGCTGAGCCCAGGGCTCAGTGTGAGAATCACGTGCGCCCTAATTGGGTGGCTGCCTTCACCCAACAAGAAAATTAATTGTGAGGTGGCTCCAATGTGGAATCCTGAAGCGATGACTGAACCCCCAAAGTGTTTTTGTTTCCCAGCTGCGACCAACAAATACAAACATATGTCACATGCCATATGATAAAACCCTTTGTGTGGCAGACCAAATGGCTGTGACCATTCTGGTCATCATAAAGCAACTCAGTGGTTGCTTCTTCACCTCAGCATTCCAAAAGACAGAATCACTGGGTCAAAACCCTGTGTGGGTGCACACCCAATCTGATCACATCTTGCTAATTTTAGCCAAAGAGAAAATGTCACGAACAATTCTATTTTTCTCAATCTCTCATCAACGGAGGTTGCGCTTCCATACAGCCCGCAGTGGAACACTGGGGCAGAGGACTGCCAATACGCAAGGGTGAGGTTCAAAACGGGCAGCAAATTGCTCTCCATCTGGCTCAGCTTCATGCCAAGGCAGTGGATGCAGCTCATGTAACGGCAGATTGTTCTGAGCCAAACCACGCAAATACTTGGCAGCTTGTACTGTTGCCTCCGATCCACCTAATAGCCGCTCAAAGATCTTGGCTAATTCCATCCACCCATCTGCAACAATCTGTGGTACAGGTCTGCGAGCCATCACACCTGACTGGCGAGGCACTGACACAAGTCTGCTGACACTTCCAGAAAACCAACGTGTGCTCCAAAACTTGGTTTGGAAAGCAAATGAATGAACAAACATTGAAACAAAATCATCCTTCGAGATTCTGTTCGTAGTCAGTGGAAAGGAATCCCTATCTTCTGCTCGAAGAACCAACAATGGTGGTTGCCGAAGCTGTTCACTTGATATGTACTCTTTCACCAAGACAAACGTGTCATTGTCATTCTTTGCACGACGACGTGAAGTCCCCTCATCTTGGTCCAAGTGGGAGGGCAAATCTGTCAGGGTTGAACTAACACAGGCAATGTTTGTAGGGGCTATAGCATAGTGACAAGCACGTTGTGAAACATGTTTTGCAACTGTCTCCTCTTCGACGACAGAACAGAAAGTAATGGTTTGCCGTCTTGTCTTCTAGCAGGCCGCCTTCCTGAGGCACGCTAATCAGCAGAGTTAATCCTGAATCCTCCATTTTAGAAGAAAGTAGTTCCTTCAAGGCCCGCTTGTATTTCACTAGAGAGGGAACAACATGGGAATAACACATAACAAAGCCATCATTATTGGGCTCTTTAAAGCTGATTATTAGTAACATCCAACAGCAAATCAGGCAAAGCACCATGCTGCTTGGAGAAAAACTGAGGAAGTGCTGCTTCCAGTCCCGGTACTGCCGTAAGCATGACACGTAGATCTCACCATTCACCCAGCTGCGAAGTCCTGGCTTTTGCAGCTCATCCTCCAGGATCTTGCAAACAGATTGGTCATCCAGGAGATTGCTAGAAGCTGCCAGTCTTCTCGACAACAATCCCCACAGCTGATCTCGGTTTGATTTTTTGAATCTAAATGCATTGTGTCACACCGTGTCCAAATACTGCTTTAAAAAAATGCACTAACAAGTTGCCAACTAATCAATGCAAGTAGACCGACAATGTCGTGTGTGTGGCTGACACGGAGCATCATCAGGCAAACGGTTCTAGGTCACCAATGCTTGTCACACAAAAGTTCCAAGTGCCAGAAAGCACAACACATAATCACAACAACACAAATCACAATGACAAAAACGTGCTGTTCAGCTGGAAGCAGGAAACTTGAGCCGTCCATGGTTGACCAACTGTGCCGCTGCAGATAACATGAAGCGGTTCTTTAACTCTTTGACTGTATTGTCTCCGACCAGTACTATGCTCTCAACTGCTGGCAAATTGCGCGCTTTGGATATTCGCACCACATCTTCCAAGCAAATTGAGAAGAGCTCATGTATGAGTGAGCTGCCACAATAGGTGTTCTCCTCCACCACAACAATCCTCAAGCAATAGCCTGCTGCCCACATGGCGTGGAGCTTTAGCTTTGCTCTTCGGTGCTTTGCTCCACGGTAGCATGTGCGGAGTGATGGGCTGCGCGGGACCATGTACTTGGCCTGCCAGATCTCGGCATTCAAAAACCCTTTGGACAATTACAAACCTCACTGATGGGAACATAGTTTAAGTTTAATAAACCCTTTTGGCACCTGGTCTGCACCGTCTGTGGATAGAACCACAGTACGGGCCATTGTGTCGGTGGACAGGTCTCTCAGACTCCAGTAGGCACAGCGATCGCTGTACTGGGAAATGAGGTGTTGGCGGTAGAGCTTGAGTGCCCCTAACCGGACGTCCATGGTAAGGTCACGGTCCTGAAACCTTTGTTGGCAACGAACTGGCGCAACAACGTGATGTGGGAAAAATATTACCAAATAGAAAAACTGTCTGAAAACTAGATAAACCTCTCCAATGATTGCAAATTGGATTGAAACTTCAGAAAGATCAAAGGAACAAAACATATCTATGATACATTCGTGAGGCTGAGCCTTCAGCTCTTGGCAAACGTCGCACTGCGAAAAGTTCGAGGCAGAACGAAACTTCAAAGTAGAACTCCATTTGGAATTGAAGGTTCGCAGAAAAGTGTTGTACCTTTGTAAACCATGTGGCGTTCAAGGTTAACATAAAAGAGTGGTGCTTCTGCAAATTAAACATGGTGTTGTTTTGGTTTGCTGTGAACACACACTAGATCAAGAAGTGGAGCAGTTTATTGTATATTCACACGACTTGCCAAACTATATTAAGAGTCAATGTCAAAACCAACTAAAACTAGTACAATTCTGCGTGGCACCTGTTCAAAATCAAAGAATAGAAAACAAGACCAACTGAATGGTGGCAAGGTTCGATGCGCAAGCATCTACACTGTGGGCATCACACCAAGAGCAATAGAATTGATAAAGCTCATAAACATTGCCAGGAGGAAGATACTTCCGTACTAGGCACTTCATATCCTTGTGTTTGCTTTGCAGGATGGGTGCACGCTGAGGATCAAACATGTGTTGGACAAACCTTTGGTGGGCAAAGAGGCTGAATGTTCTCAATGAAATTACCAACATTTGACAAGCATCTGTGAACGCAGCAGTCCGTGTGATGTTGAAGACAAATGAAGCAGTGGATTGTAGGAATTCACCCAGATCCTCGTCTGTGGGGTCATCTGCGGAATCAATAATGACACCACCAGGCCACTGGTCAGTACCCGAGCTTTCTCCCTTTTCAACTTTCACATGTTTGGATCGCCTCCCGCCAGTTACCTTCGTGACATTCTGGCGCACAAACCTTGGCGGTTTCCAGCCTCACAAATAGAAAGAGAGTGTAAGCCTTATGGACAATAGAAGCTGACATGCACGGTGCACGAACAGAAGAAACACAAAACAAAGACTGCAAAACCAGGTCAAGGCTCTTGTCTGGGAGGGGTTCTGCCACGCTGCCATATAGGACAAGGAGAAATGAGTCCACTGACGCAGTGAGAGGTGAAGGCTTGGGTGGTTTTTTGGTGTCTTTGAACCGCATGTCCAATGATCCAATGCGATCTATCCGGTGCGACCCTACACCCAGTAGCGCCTCAAAGCATTGCCTGCGAATATGTTGGCCCAAAAAGTAATATGATCGCCGTGTTTGTCGTTGGTGTGGCTGAGAACCTTCAAGATTGGAACAGGCCATGAAGAGAATCGAGTCCTGTTCTCGCTTGGTGCAGCTTTGAAACGTATCCATGAAGGACTTGACTGGACCCATACTGTACTGTTGAAAGCATTGCCCATGTGCACATTTGCAACTGCTGGACAAGAGTGTGCGTAGTCGATCCTTGGCTTTAGGTGTTTTGCCCATAGAAATGAAAAGGGTTGAACAAGTGTTACAACATTAAAAGAACAAGGTTACAAAACTTGACCACAATTACAAATGATAATGAACAACCATGTGTCTTCACTGTTTCGTACCAACACATTCCTGCTTGAAGTTGAATCTGTTTTTGCTTTCCTTGCCTCCGCAGCTGCAGCTCTGTTGGCATTGTTGTAAACTCTCCTCTTGCGAGGCGGCTGTGAAGGCTCCTGCTGGTCAACTTTGCAGAGCTTTCCCTTCAAAAAGCTGTTCAAGGTAGCAAACGACAGCTCCACCAACGCTTTGCTACTTTCGCCGATCTCGTTGTTTGCGTCTGCATCTGCTTCATATCCAGACTCAGACTCACCACCACCATCATTACACTCCAGCCTTAGAGTGCTGCAGAACCTTCCCTTTACGCCCTTCATCAGAAAAACAAACTATAAAAACATAAAATATAACAAACTATAAAAAAATACAGTTAATATACATATATAAAGATATCTTGGGAGGTGCTATGGTGCATGACAGAAATCTTGATAGTAGAGAAACACAAGGTTATCAAAAAAAGAGTTGAGTAGCTCATCAGGCTCGTCAGCAAGAGGTTTTGGTGAACTCGTGTTTGGCTCATCTGGTTCATCTGCTTCTTCTTGAAAGATGCAGCTGCCAGTTCCAGGGTTTCCAGGAGTTGGCTTCCTGTAGGTCAAAGAGGCAGCAGGCTGGTCTGGCTCATCCTCTTCGTCTCTGAATAAGAAGCTCACATGTTCATTGCCTTCAGCATTGAACAGTGTAGGTGAATCTGGTTCATCACCCTCATCTTGGAGCAAGGATGATGACATAGCAGCACACCATGGCTGCCAGAAGTGGGAAATAACATAAACAAAAAGTACACTCTGATCCTGTGATCACATTGAGTACAAAAGTACTCCCTGGATCGAGGGGGAGAATGGACATGGTGGGAGTGATGCATAACTGGGAACAAAACAAAGTTGCGAATAGTGGTAAGTACACCAACATTTATCGGAAGAATATTCTTGCCCTTTGACAATGTTTTTGATCTTGAAAATGTTGCCTGATCTGGATCGGAATTAAGCGTGAATGCTTCATGAACTTGTGGTTTCATCACACATTGGGCCCCCAACCGTCTAATCTTCTTCTGCTGAGGGAAGTCCTCCAAGACTCAACTGATCAGAAGGTCCTAAAGCTGTCGAACAAAAACCAAGCCTTGTGCTCCAAGCATAATAGAGCCTGGCAAACAACGCTTTGGAATGCTTTTGGAGAAGAAATAGACAAAACATGCCGAGTTCACACACATAATGCAAAAGCCCACCGATGGAATGTCCATGCCATTCCCTGCCATAAGCACCTGCCAGTTAAACACGCTCCGCTCACAAGCCAAACATGTTTGAACAAGGAACAGCCTTCTGGCTTCCGGAGAGCATGGACACGTCTGCAATACCATGACCAGCCCACTCTGCCAGCTTCTTTGTCACTGGCCAGCCCATCACCCCCAGCATCTCATCAGGAGAAAGGGAACGGCTGTGCTTTGGGCTCCAACTGAGATGATGCAAGAAAATTGTAAGCAGTTGTCTTTTGAACACTTTATATAACAAACAGCACAAGGAAAGAGCTGCTGGGAAAAAAATGTCATCTTGTGACCAGTGGCAGGGTTCCTGAAGAAGTGGTAAAGGTAGGTAGAGACCCGTCATGGGTCGAGCATCGGCCTCTCTTGACCCGAGGGCTCGGGTTTTGTGAGAGGTCCTTGGTTGATGTTGGTACCATCAAAGATCAAAACCTTATTTGAGGTTTAGATAGTGGGGGCGACCTACCTAAGGTTGAATACTATTGAGCACATCAAAACCAAAGTAAAAGTTTTCTGAAATCAACAGCTAAATATCCCAACACCAACCTATCAGGAAAATCTCGTTCATAAATGCGTTTGAAGTCGGTGGCTGAATCGGAGAGGTTGAGGTAGAACAGGTCCGACTGACCACACGTTTCCTCCTCAGGTCTGATTAGGTAGAAGGCTGGCATTGGAAGTGGAAGAAATCAACTAAGGCACAACCCAAAAGTGTTGACTTAAATGGCCATAGAAGAGTCCAACTCCGACTTGGACATCCAAAACATATCATTTGCATCCATCACAAGATCTCTTGCAGGACAAAGCAATTTCAGAAGCGCCCGCAACGGTGGTCCCTTCCAGGTAAAGCGGTTCTTGTCATAGAAGAGCCTGTATGTACGCAACCTGTGGAGCTGGTTGGAACACACTCGGATGGACAGATTTGTTCAAACACTCTTGTTCTATCTTTTTTGCACGGGTTGCACCTGTTCATCGGCTTCCCAAACCTTTGAGGAGATATCAAAGTCTTCTGAACATTGTACCGTTCCAGGAGCGGCTCCAGAAACGCTTCAGGGTACTCTGGTACGTTTTCATGTAGAAACCACGCCAACCTGAGCAGGGTATTAGGGCTTGCAAAAATAACCAAAACAGTAACATACTTAACTCATGTTCACACTGACATCAACAAGGTAAAAACATTGTGCCTTTGGTCCGTCTTGTCAGCCATCCATGCATCGTGGCATCTCCGCTTTTGCTGATTGGCGAGGCCTTCCTTCTTTCCCATCCTAAGTGCAGTGACTAGTTCGAAACAAATGTGGTCCAGTCCTCCCCAGGGATGTTTGAATGGTCTGACTTTGGGGTTTAGAAAACCTAGCAAAATGATATGCTTCTGTATTTCCAAAGGGGCAAAGAGAACAGCACACATGGTGGTCCATCTACTGCTGCTTTGTCCACATTCTTTTCCACTTGAAGTTTCCGAGGGCAATTCTTGTTGTGCGTCTGGCAAAAAAGTGCTGGTACCTGATTGAGTGTTCCAGGCATTAAATACAGTAACCACAAAATGTGACGTGTAACCACAAGATGCTGGAATAAAAATAACACATACTGAATAATGACATGTGAAGCTGCAGGCTTCCACTTCTGCGGAGGCTGGCTGGTGTCCTTGATGAAATCCAAGATGTCCGAAAACATACACCGGTCAGGATAATTTGCTGTAATGAACCTTGAATGTCTTCTGAGTTGTCTTTTGAAGGGTCAGGTGTTGGCAACTTGCGGTTCGGGAGGTACCAAGACAGCCCCCCTTAAAAAAAAAATGTGATGACAAACTCTGAAGCACTTCTTGGAGTGTGTTGCAATGTCGCACGCTCGACCGGTGCCCACTTGGAGATCAAAGCCATACCTTGGATGGTCATAGCCCAAATGGCCCAGAAGTAAGTAGTGTTTGCTATGCTTTAAAGAAACAGCAAAAACAACATACAAAATGCACCATAAGTTCTGCAAGAGACCTTCTGCGAACAGCTGTTTTGATTTGCAAGACAGCTTCACTTGCACCATCTCCACCAGCAAACCAGGTATCTATGCAGCATTCCGCATTCTTCATCTTGTCTTGGACTTCCTGTGGTCCAAAGAGGAGCCTCAAAGTTGAGGAACAAATCAATAAGAGTAACATATGTGCTGAGACCTCTCGCCCCCTATTTATTTGATATGTTTGAGGATTTGTTGTCATACGAGATGTATGAACAAAGTCAACGAGTCAACAATTAATTTGATTTGTGGATGAAACACTTCAGATAGAGAAAACTGTCAGGCTGCAAACCAAGAAACTCAAAGCGTACCAACACCTTGTCGGCCCAGCGGAACAGCTGAGAAAACTCTCGTGGGTGAGGTGCTGGCCTTTGTTGCAATCAAAACCAAAGGAACCAAGAAGGTAAACAAGAGACCACAAAAAAAACACACACACACACACAACACATACACACGCACAAACACACACACACACGCATAAACATTTATCAAAGCAACAAAAATACAAAGACATATTGTTTAATGCTTTTGATCAAGATTCGGACCACTCATTGCTGCAGCCAAAGCCGGTGCAGGGTCATCTACCCCATCATTGTCACGATCTGCCCTTCCACCAGCTCGCTTCTTCCCACCTAGGGTGTGTTTCTGTTTTCCTCACGCGTTTGTCTGCCTTGTTTGCCCTTCTCCGTTGGTCTGAGGTTTTCACTCTCTTTCTTTTGGTCTGAGATGTTACTCATTGGACTCTTCTCTTGGTTTGAGGGCTCTTGCTGATGGAGGGGGCTCTGCAAACAAAAAGAGATTGCTAAGTTGCATCCAGACACAGACGGCGAGTTCTGAAGGCTCAATGTCGATTTGCTCATCACCCTCCTTTTGAAAGAGATGCTTGGTGCCAGCATCCTTCAGGTTTGCATCAACACATAATATAATGTTATATATTATATACTACATAGATGTCACATGTGCTGAGACGAATCTAATGAACTTCAACAAGTGTTTTCCGGTCCAAGACTGTGTGCAAGAAATGTTCAAAACATTGTTTGCCATTGTTTGCTCAGTACATGGCAGGGTGGTGCACCAACACTGTGCACATGTTTATCCGTTTTAATGTAGACTTTGGAAGTTGGAGGTCAAACAGTGGTTTGTTGATCCTGAACCAGATTGCCAATCAAATTGGAATTTGTAGAATTGCAACCCATGCATCGTTTTAACAGCTTGGGCTGATGCTAAACTGTAAACAGTGGGAACATGTGTTAAGATTCAACCAATAGGAAAATCCAAACCTCATCTTCTACATACTTCTAAACCACCTATCTACCGGGTGTTGAAAGTTCAACATATAGTTTCTTGGGCAGCTGTCCTCGTTGTCGGAGTCCAGCAAACACTTGGGCATGGCAGGGCAAGTAAGTGCAGTCTTGAGCACAAACTCTGTGGTCTCTGGTGTGCGTGTGTGTGTGTGTGTGTTTGTACCACAGGTGCCTCTTCAAAGCAACGGCTGAGGTTTTCAACCCCACCTCTCATGAACTTAGTGTTTTCTTTTCATGTGAGGGCCTCGGTGAAGGAGCCTTCAAGAATCACACCCAAGCAGCAAAACATGTGTTCTATATACTAGGTACCACCTTCTATATACAGGTAGAGTTGCAAATCAGGAGGAACTGCAAGCGACAGCATCAAGCAACTTCCGAGTTACGGAATACAAATTCCTGGCCAAGGGTTGAGCCAAGCGGTGGTGGTGGTTGTGGGATGCACCAATTTCCAAACATAAAACTAGCTCGCCCAAGTGTTCTGAACCAAAGAGTGGGGATGGTTGGTGTAACATGCACAAATGTCCAAATCAACATCAGCAAAGTGTTCTGAGCCAAACAGTGGTGGTGGGGATGGTTGGGGTGGTGACTCAGCAAGCTACTTTGCCAATTTACTATGGGCTTCGTTTTTGGTAGCTGAGCATCCATTCCATTGACAGCTGATCATTCTAATTTAACAGCCAGTTAGCATGAAATTAACTTCAAAATATCTCCGCAGGGCCATGTATTTCAAGAAACTAGTGCATACATGCATGCATGCATGTTACTTATTTTGATATTCATTCTCGATCCATTAAACCTATCGAGGTGCGCGATCCATGTCGAGCTCTCCCTGCCAGCTTTCGAACTTCTTCAGGTGATTTTGGGCTATCCAGGCTTCTGTAGAACCTCATTCGGCGGTTGTGCTGAAGCTTTTGTGCTTCGTCTCGCTTCTTGCGCTTCATCTCATCTTTGCCAGCAGCATCATCCTCGGGTTTGTAAGCATCCTCGAATTCATCGAGAAACGTGCTACCACCACGATTCTCTGCAGGTGCAGGTGTCTCCAGAAGTTCTGAATGACCCCGAATCAGCAAAGAAGTCAGGCTGCTACTGGTACACGCCCTGTGCAATGACGAGTGTCCTGAGTCGTTCACTTCAGCACGCAAGGGTGCTTCAGGTGTACTTGGCACTTCGACCTCGACGGGTTTGACCTCGACGGGTTTGACCTCCAATGATTGTGGCACTGCCTTGGCCGCAGTTCTCTCCTCATTTGTATTCTTTGCTCTTCTAACCACCTTCGATGGTTGTGCCGCTGCCTTGGCCTTGGCAGCAGTTGTCTTGGCCTGCACATCATCTTTCTTACCCTTCTTGGGCTTCACATCATCGTTCTTATCCTCACCTCTCTCTTCAAGCACTAGCTTTCGTTTTGTAGGCTTTGCAGGCTTTTGGTTCTCCTTGTCAGCTGCCTTATTGTTCTTCTCCTTCTCAACCTTCTCACCTGTGTCTTCAAGATCTTCAAGCACTAGCTTTCGTTTTGTAGGCTCTGCAGGCTTTTGGTTCTCCTTGTCAGCTGCCTTCTTTTTCTTCTCCTGTTTTTCCTTTGTTTCTTTTTCCTTTGATTTTTCCTTCTTCTCCTTTTGCTGCTTCGGGTTCTTCTTTGGTGCCGCCTTGGCCTTTGCAGCCACTGCCTTTGCAACAGCAAACGGAGGAGGGTTTCCTCCACCTTCATTTCTGGCGGATGGTGACATGTCCACATCACTATCACCCTCCTGCTCATGCCCAAGAATGAGAGTTTCTGCCGATAGGGATGCAGAGATAGGATGGCTTTGGTAGGGCGGACTCCTGGGGGGAATCACCCTTTCTTGTGGTGTTT